AACATTTCCCATCGTCCTTCACCCTTAATCCATTTCTGGGTCGGGGGGTGTCAGTCAGAGATGCCACCCAGTCCACAGAGCACCAGCCCCTCACCGATACCTCCTGCAGGTGGTGAGTCCACAGGAGCCTTGATCTTTCAGCGGGGGCAAGATAAAAAACAAGCCATTTCATTATATTCCACAGTAAGTCCACACAATGTGCAGATGAACCCCCAAGTTAGAGATTCAATTCAAATCATATCTCTTTCATTCATATCAACATTATTTTCTGTTCTGTGTTTTTATTATAGTTGTATAAGGGATGGCAATTTGTCTTTCCAAAAGCCATGTTGCACACAAAAACATGGCTTTTGGAAAGACAAATATCTGAGGGAGGGAGAGAGCGAGAGAGTGAGAGAGCGAGGGAGAGAGAGAGAGCGAGGGAGAGAGAGACCTGGTACAATGCATCTCTCCTCTTTGCTCCCTCTAAAAATAAAAATTATACCATTCCATAAAATGAAAGAAAGCATGATTTCCGGGCAGACCAAACAGTAGTAAGTAGTAAGTAATCTTTATTTATATACCGCCTTTTCACTGCAGATCTGAGTCTCAAAGCGGTTTACAATTGTTATTTTTTTGGGCATTTGTCTCTCACTCCACACAGAGATGGGAGCGGGGCCAGTACAGGAGGCGCATGCCAGAACTATTGTACATATTTTTAGTGGTAGGGGAAACCAGAGTACCCGGAGGAAACCTACGCAGACATGCAAACTCCACTCAGAAAGGCCCTGGTCCGACCGGGATTCGAACCCAGGACCTTCTTGCTGAGAGGCGAGAGTGCTATCCACTCAGCCACCGTGCCGCACAGCACTTTCAGACCCTAGACTGTAAGATTTAGACACATGCGGCCGCACTTTCTATGAAACCTGTGGGTCTGACTTCTTTGTTCTTGTCCTCTGATCCACACGCTGCAGAGAGTAAGGTGAAGAGAGACTTAGTGAAATCTAAACACACTCTCAACAACACAATGGATCAGAGAGGCCCCGGTAAACATCTCACTGCATCAATACGTCTATCGAACCCTCCTTTTTTACTCACATCAGGCCATTGTTTACCATCGTGAATACTGACCAGAAACCAGAAAGACTAAGGATCAGATAGACAAGAGGGACAAGAGAGACTATAGAGACTAAAGACCACAGACCAGAGAGACTAGAGAGACTGGAGTCTAAAGAGAGAGACACGAGAAACTAAAACCACAGCGCCGCAGGATGGCGCCGTGGCATGCTCTGCCAAAGCAATTTCCAAGTGGTGACTTTTGTTACTTACGTGGCAAAAAAATTATTCTGATTCTAAAGACGAAAGACCAGTGACCAGAGAGACCCGGATAGCAGTGATACAAATGTGTTTAACTGGTGTAAAATAATAAGGGCATTTGAATTAAGTTCATTGATTTTCCAAAGGTGAGGGGGACTTATGGAACTCTTGTTGATATAGCGTTAGGACGAGAGTTTAAAGTAGTACTAGAATTTAATATGCTGCTATCCAGAATATATAACTACAATATGTGTTTATAATATTTCGGGTGTTCATTTTGACATGTTCAGATGAATTATGTTAAAAAAACGGCTTTCAAGTGGCACTTTTTCACTTCCGCATAGAAACGCTAGGGGGGGCCAAAATGGCGGCGATGACGTAGGAGAAGGGCATCTCACAGCAGCAGACATCAGTCTGGTTGGAAACTGTAGGAGGTTTCACTGTCATCTGAACAAGGTATAAACATATTTTCATCCGTTTTGTACATAATAGTGTGCAATTCTTTTAACCTTTTAGCCTTATTTGTGAGATTCAAGCTAATTAGTGTTGGGCAAGTTAGCTAACTCTACTTGATATCATAAAACATGCTAACAAGGCTAATATTTGTTTTTACATTATGCCAGTCTCACTTTGGTTGCCTTAGATTTATTTACCACAATGTACATTGTAATATCCATAAATGTTAACACCTATTAACGGTTTAATTAGCATTTTTATCAATGATTGCATCACATGTAGTCTATGTTTTCAACTTCTGCAGCTTTTTGTTCATAAAAGTAAAATATTTATTTAATTAGTTATTTTGATTAGCATTTTTGAATATTACAATGTACATTGTGGTAAATAAATCTAAGGCAACCAAAGTGAGACTGGCATAATGTAAAAACAAATATTAGCCTTGTTAGCATGTTTTATGATATCAAGTAGAGTTAGCTAACTTGCCCAACACTAGTTAGCTTGAATCTCACAAATAAGGCTAAAAGGTTAAAAGAATTGCACACTATTATGTACAAAACGGATGAAAATATGTTTTTACCTTGTTCAGATGACAGTGAAACCTCCTACAGTTTCCAACCAGACTGATGTCTGCTGCTGTGAGATGCCCTTCTCCTACGTCATCGCCGCCATTTTGGCGCCCCCTAGCGTTTTTATAAAGGTGCCACTTCAAAGCCGTTTTTTTAACATAATTCATCTAAACATGTCAAAATGAACACCCGAAATATTATAAACACATATTGTAGTTATATATTCTGGATAGCAGCATATTAAATTCTAGTACTACTTTAAGCTTTTTAGCTTTCTTATAGAGTTTGTGAAATTTCATCTTAAAGAGTTGCTTGGACACGTTTTCACAAGACAATCAGTGATGAAGCTTCCAGTGATATTTCTTAATAGTTCTGAAAGTACTGTATTTAGAAGTGTACTAATGCAACGGTCAGGATAGTGGAGACTTTTGTTCCACAGAGAAGCACATTGGGTTGTGTGACATGTACAATATAAACAAATCTCATCTTCATCTTCCAGTGTGAATAATGTCAAAAGCTCATCATATTGTCAAAATAATTATTCATTAGCTATAGGCACATTATGTACCATACTTTTTTTTTTACAACACAAATACTAATGTGTTATGTGAAAAGCTGTGTGTGCATGTGTGTGTGTGTCTCTCTGTGTGTGTGTGTGTGTGTGTGTGTGTGTGTGTGGGTTGGCATAAGTGGTTTATGAGGCCAAAATTTAGGGTTACTCACCAGCACTATGAGGCCATTCAGTTTATGAGGCCATTCTGACTGGCCTCATAAACCAAGAACTTCTTCTTGTCATAATTATTGAATAATTATAGTTAAAATTGTTTTTTATGAAGGTATAATTATTATTATACATCTATTGTAAGCTAATATTCCTAATAGTCTGTAATAACTTTTTGTTCTCTTGTAAGGCCCTCATACATATTGACCCCATATACCGTGGGTATATGAGGTCACCAACACACATGTGTATGGGTCTTTTTTTTTTTTCAATTTTCATACACAATTCCGCCAATTTTCACACATTGTGGCGCCAAAAGTTACACAAATTCCCGCGTAGTAGCCCGTGCGTCCTCTACGTACTACGTGCTCCGGAAATCCCCACCCCCCTGCACCTGACTCAGCAGACAAGAACCGAGGAGAAACAATATCAGATTTAACCGTGATATCCTCAATTAATATTAAGGTAAGTGCTTAAAACTTGTATTGTATTGAATGGTAAACTATTATGAGTGTAGGCTTTCACTTAGTTGTCAGAAAATTACAAGTAATCAGTAAAATGTAACTTTTGCGGGAGAAGGGCTAGCCTAATGAAAGCTCAAAGGCTAAATATTTTAGCATATGTTTCTTGTTTAAATAAACAGCAGATTAACAGGTAACGCTGAATTGGCCACAGACATGAAATTATCTGATCATTATATGATCAGATAATATAACCAGACATGCAGATGAACATTATGTTGAGTTCATAGCTAGTTTAAATAATCTCTTCATTAGCCGTCGATGCTATATCATGTTGGAACCATTGAAGCCGCGAAAGTCTGGGTTGATCATTTTCCGCTGTAAATGGACTGATGGACGTGATTTGTTCAAAAGTACATAATTACAAGTATTTTTCAGATTTTAAAGAGACGGGAGTGATGCACTTTAGGGAGAGAATAGGAACACGTTCACCACGCTTTGTGCACTGCTATGCATATGTCACAGTGCTGCTGTTTAGTCCGCAGTTTTGTGCGTGAACGAGTTCAAAAGAACGCGTTCATTGAACAAGCTCATTTTTTCGTGAACGTTGAACTGAAGGCAACACATTTTTAAATAAATAACTTGAACGTGAATTAGTTCACATTATGTGTCATGAACGGCAGATATTACTGTAAATGAACGTTGGATTTTTTTTTTCCATAGAAAACTGAGTGACATCTGTTCTTTTGAAACACAACGAGAGAAAGTTCCTCCCTCTTGTATTCGCCGCATTTTTTCCGCCGAAAACTAAAAATTCCAACAGTTTCCACAGTCTGTGAAAGCACCCAGACTCCGTGTTGAGGTGCGCCACTGAATGTTGTGCTTTTTAGTTTTGTTGGACTCACGCGTGCCCGAGTCTTGATGAAACAAAGGGGTGAGTTAGCGACACAGAGCCAACCGTTTACATTTGACATAAAGACACACGTAATGCAGTTTGTAGTACTTATGAGCAGAGATGGGACAACTCTGTTTTGCTCCCATTGAAACCCATGTAAATCTTGTCCTTTTTGGAGTCAAAAGGCTCTCTGTACAGGAGATATATATATATATATGCTTCAAATCTAGCAGCACAACTGCTAGATTTGGAGCCTGCAGGAGCTAGTGAAGATTTCAGTGAGACAGACGAGCTACACTCTTCTTTAAACATGAGTTTATGAGTGTGTGACATCATGTGTGTTTAATGGTATTGTTTACACTGTTTGTACAGTACTCGGTGACTTTTATTTTTGCAATATGGGCAACTTGTGCTCCTGAGGTAAAATGTCATAACATTGAAAATATTGTGTTTTGTGGATTCAGCCGATCAAGATGTGGCCTAATAATGAAGTGATTCCAGTCCTTTTATTGATTGTAAATATATGGTTTATCTGATTTATATTAAAGCTGCATGCGTTGTAATTGTTGCAGATGGCTCCAAGGAGGCAGAGGATGAATCCTATGAACGAGGCCATTGACTTTGCAAGCAAGGGACTGGACAAAACGCCACAGCTTGAGGAAAAATGGATCAGCTCATTCAAAGGTATTGAAGAAAATGACAATTGTGTCTTTCAGACAGCAGACATGTTTTATTTTCGATGGTAGACGAGCACTAACAGATTAGTTACAGAATGCAAGTGATATTATATAGCATGGAGGAATGGAGAACTCCAATCAGCATTCACCGGGCTGCCAGTAGCTTGGCCTTGAGATAACCACAACATGTAGTGGAAGAGTACTTCCTTGTGCTTATTGTTAGAATGATGAGTTTAACTTTAACCACAGTTGCTTCAAAGTGCCATGAAATCTCCAAAGTATGGCTATGGAGGACCAAAACTGTCAAAATAATAAATGAATGAACAAATAAATGTCATAATCTGCTGATAATTATTAAGATAACACTTAAAAAATATTTGATATTAAATATGTAATATCCTTATACAACATTCTTTGGTGCAAAACAAAATACTTCATTACTTCCAGTCTGCATTTATTTATTTCCTTGTTCATTCATCGGTCCTTGGTCAGATAGATGAGGTCCCTCAGAGGTTGTGCAGATGATGAAAACGATCTGAAAATGTAATTTTGTATCTACTGTATGTACTAGGGCGAGGAGTGTTTTCCACGGTGATTCTGCAATTAGGCGACTTTGTCGTAGAGTATAGAGGTGATTTAATTACGGCGAAAGAGGCAGAAAACAGGAGGAATTGTCCCAATGCCTGTGTGGACTTTTTGTTTGATTTCCGCTGGAGAGGAGGAAAGTGGTGGTAAGATTAAACTTAATCTCTATTGTTGTTAAGGGCTTTTTGGTGGCCCACCTAATAGTACATTTGTTTATTTCTTTTTGATCCATAAAATACTGAAAATATCTGAAAAAAGGACAACAAAAAAAACAATGATTTACTATGATCCCTAAATAAAATAAAAGACATTTTAAATGATAGGCTCTGAAATCTTGAAATTCTGTCAAGGCTTGTTTTAACCAATCAAATTAACAGTCGTCATCAGTACAAAAAAAAGAAAGTTTGTAGTTTTTTGTTAGATTGTGCTGCTGAGCTTTATATCATCACATCATCGAGTGGTCTACTTGGCAGTTGCTACTAAAAAGGCTTTTCTTTATGGCTGTAAGTTTTACTGCTGCTGCTCCTAAACTGTGAGATGCCACAAAATACTCTTCTCACCAATATCATTAGGGGGCCACCAAAGGGCTTTATTGATTGTAAAGAACATGTCTAATATACTGAATTTCTCTTTTTAAGTATTGATGCGACACAGGACGATGGCACCTTTGGGAGGCTGGTTAATGATGACCACTATAACCCCAACTGCAAAATGAAACTGATTGTGCTGAAAGACAAGCCGCATCTTTTTCTTTTTGCGCTTCGTGAGATTAATCAGGGAGAGGAAATAACTTACGATTACGGAGGAAGTGACTGTCCTTGGAGAAAAGAGGTTTGTCAAATTATACACTGATTGACTGAAACCTTGCATGACAACAAAAGGGAAAAAAAAAAGGTGGGAGTTATTACACACACCTACATTTTCATGAACAGTGGTCATGAACACATTAATTTCAATCACTCTCTCCCGCCCTCTCTCAGATGGTCTCACCATCACTTTCACTCTTTCTCTCTCTCACCCAGCTTGTGAATCCAAAAAGCACTGAAAAACTAGCAGGCCCTGTGCCTTATTCAAAATTTGTGGCTCCAAAAAACGCTGAACCAGAAGAAGGCCCCGCTCTTCATTCAAAGGTATATTCAATGTGTATTTGTGGAAACTTATTGCTGGTTTAGAGGGTCGTAGTTTGGTGTGTGTGGCTTTTATGAAGCGACAGTTGTCTCCTTATTCTATTCCACCCTCTTGTAAGTGGACTCAGGAGATGGATTAAGTAGGCCTGTCGCGTTATTCAATAAATCAATTAATCGCACAATAATAAAAATTGGCTCAATATTTTTTCTGGCCGCAATAAATTCCATTTGCATGCTTGTTTTTCCCGTCTCGTTCTCTCCCTCTCTCTCAGGTCAGAGAGCCTCAAAGTGGTCATGGGAACATTAGCGGTCTAGCAGACTGAAATTACTCAAAAATACAAAATACAGCCAAAACAGGACCTAAACCAGGACTTAACCAGGATTGACAATGGGGGACACAGTAGTTGTGAACTTATGTCATCCCTTAAGTTCTCATTAAAGTTTCTGGATGGTCTCTGGACAAAGAGCAGCATTCTTAGCAAAAAACTTTATACAAAAACCCCGCTAGCTTAGCTAGAGCCTGTTAGCTCTGTTAGCATCAAAACCCTCCTGCTACTTCCGCCACTTCCGGTGGTGGTCTTTAAAAATAAAAGTTTATTTATTGAAAAGGTGTCTGCATCATTATCATTGTATTAGTTGAAAATGATCTCATAACGACAATATTATCGCTTATCGCAGTAAATTCTGAGACAATTAATCGTCCAGCAAAATTTACTATTGTGACAGGCCTAGGATTAAGTACTACTTGTGTTCTCTCTCTCAGCCTCATGACTGAGAAACGGATCATTAGTCAGCTGCTTCTACCATTTTGACCCAAATGTTCCCAACACATTTTGTAGATACATGCTGTATATGTAGAAGTTATAATAGCAGACACTACACGGTGGAAACAATAATCGCTCCGATTGGCCACTAGTGTTTGCATTATAGTTTGACAAATAGTTTCTCTCACTCACTCTCCTTTTCTTACTTTCAGTTCGTGGCTCCAAAAAACGCTGAACCAGAAGAAGGCCCCGCTCCTCATTCAAAGGTATTTTCAATGTGTATTTGTGGAAACGTATTCATGGTTTAGAGCAGGGGTGTCAAACTCATTTTGGTCCGAAGAGGCCATATACAACCTAATTTGATCTCAACTGGGCGGACCAGAAGATGCGCTACAAAAATACCCAAAAACGGTACAAAGTCCAATTTTTTGTGCACATAAACACATTTATTTAAAAGTTCCTTTAAAACACTGTCCTTTAATACTCACTCCGTTTTTTCATAGTGCAAATAATGTAATGTATTTACAATATTACATTGTAAATGGCATTTCACAATATTATATTATTTGTATGTTAGCTTTGTCTTAAGGCTCATTACAGAGAAAACTTGCTCACAAAGGTAAAGTAGGTTAATAGAAAAAAGCAATTTAACACAGCACCTCAGCTTAACCACCTTCAGTGTGGTAATGGTTATGTTATTGTCACAGAGAAAGCGTCAAACTAACCATGAGTCAGTTGAAATGAACAAAACTACTTCCATAACGTGATCCATTCTTAACTGCAGCAGTGTCTCTGTGTAAAATACAGTCAAATGTCCAAAAATCATCACCTCCATTTGCAGCTTTGTCACAACACCTACTTTACCATCGGTACCAGAGAGCGCAGGACCAGTCCACTCTGTTCAACACACAGCGACAACAGCACTAGCAGCAGCAGCACCAGCAGCAGCACTCAAAACTCCTCTGTGATAGTTTCAGTAACACCACAAATGTATATGTGGCATCAGTAACATCAGTCTCTTATCAATGGCAACATGTTGGTAAAAGCGAGTGCTTTCTCAGACCATGTCTGCAGCCTGTAAGAGAGATTTAACAACTCTCACTCTGCGGCTGTGATGCTCATGCTAAGTTTTTAGTACCCAGGTAGCTTGTCTTTACAGCCGCAGAACTAACCCCTCGCTCTGGGCACATACGCACTGCTGTTTCTTCAGGGCCAGACATGTTTATCTTCTGTCTCAATTATCTGCTCAAAGTGCAGTATTTTTTGCCGAGTCTCGTATTTTAAGATGTTACTCCTTCAGCACTGCTTTGGTGGAGCCAGCTACAGACGCACGCAACTCGCTGCTGAGCGCGGCGCTGCAACGTCGTGGCGCAGATTTTTTATTATTTATTATCAGGATTTTACATAAATGAGCCGCGGGCCGTGTAAAATCTCTTGGCGGGCCTGCTCCGGCCCGCGGGCCGTATGAATGACACCCCTGAAAATTGAATAATCACAATGAAACAATTAAGGATTCTCTCACACCTGATACTCTCTATGGCGCAGATTGTGTGACTGAGGTGTGGCATAAGCACTGTTGCTGGTTTGTAAAAACAAATTATACAATCATTAGGGCTGAAGATATGGAAAAGATGCCATATCTTAATATTCATACCAGATATATTGATACGGTACGACTACGGGTTCCGTGATGAGTTGTGACTAGTGTGCAAGCTTGGTTTCCCAAAATACCGCCCTCCTATTTTTGTCATTGGTTGGCTGACCATAGTGGTGCATTCAAGGGAAATGTTTAACCGCCTCGCTTCATAATAATCTAATCTCATGTTTTTTTTAATACTTTGAACAGGATGAATCTGATATCAGTGAAGAGGAGGTATCGGATAATATTGGTGATCCAGACTATGTTCCTCCCTCTCAATCTGATACCGAAGATGAAGCGTCAAATAGTGCAAACTCTAAATCAGTGGTTGCGGAAGCATTTTGGCTGTATCATCCCGTGGACTTGGGTGACACCAACAGCGACCTTACCAAAGGAGAAGATGACACAACCACTCTAGCTGCTGCAGGACGGCATAATTTTTGTTTTGTTTGTAAAAAGGCCTGCCACAAACTTGCTCGGCACTTTAAAATACATATACATGAAGATGCTGACATAGCACAGGCTCTTTAGTTTTCCTTTAGGCTCCAAACAGAGAAAAAAGTATCTTGAGCAACTTCGAAACAAAGGAAATTTCATGCACAACTGCAATGTAATGAAGACTGGCAGCGGTTCACTAAAAGTTAAACGAAGGGGCAATGGTTGTATTAATAAATATGAGTACTGCATCCATTGCAAAGGAATGTTTCTGAGAACAGAGCTTTGGAGACATATAAGAAGATGCACCTCTAAACCTACAGACACTGAACACTGCGGCAGAAAACGAGTACTTGGTATAGCCTCAGTGGTCAAGTCGACATGCTCCAGCTTCATTGGGGATGGGTTGGCAAAGATGTTAAGTCGCATGCACGATGATGGAATTGCAAGTGTAGTTCGCAATGATTTTTCTCTTCTCAATTATGCTGAATCCCTTTACACCAAACATGGACATGACCCCACAAAGCATGACTATATTCGTCAGAAAGTTCGTCAGCTCGGAAGATTCCTTTTAACCCTTCGCAAAACCTCTCCAATCCCAACTTGGAGGATGCCATAAAAACCTCAAAAGGTTTTCAAGCACTTGCAACAGGCTCTCCAATCCAGAGTGGCATATTAACTGGATTAGCAGACAGGAGAGTCGTTAACCCAAGACCCTGTGTGTCGATGGAGGATGCCATAAAACCCAAACATTTCCGCACGCTTTATGTGTGTGTATCAGAGGTTATCTCCTCACAACTTGTGTACAGTGATCCCTAAAATACAACACAACTCTCCGTAGAGAGGCGCCTCAATTACTGATAATTCCCGCGAGGACATCATAAAACTCCACAAGCATCTGGATAAAAATGCAGAATCAGCAACCACTGCATTAAAGGAGCAGGCAACAGCACAGAACTATTCCAGTCTTGCCACAATAACCCTAACTAAAACAGTTTTGTTCAACCGAAGACGTGTTGGCGAAGTCTCAAAGATGAAACTGAGAAATTTTACCGAAAGAGATCGCTCAAACACCCACGAAAAAATTGGTCTATCAGAATACGAGCAGAAGCTGTGTCGCTATTTTGAACGAGTTGAACTGAAGGGGAAACGGGGGAGAAAGGTGGCGGTGTTACTAACACCTGAAATGGTGAATGCACTCAATTTGATGATCGAGAAGAGAACAGAATGTGGTGTGCCAAATGAGAATGAATACATGTTTGCAGTGCCAAAATGTTTGACGTACTACAGAGGTCATCAAAACCTCAGAAGGTTTGCTGATGAATGTGGGGCCAAGAGGCCTGATTATTTACGGTCTACTCAGTTGCGCAAAGAAATGGCTACAACATCACAAATCCTTAACTTGAGTAACAATGAACTTGATCAGATGGCTGATTTCTTGGGACATGACATATCAGTGCATAGACAATTCTACCGGCTATCTGAGCCCACCATTCAAAGTGCAAAAATTTCAAAGTTGCTGCTTGCACTGGAAAAGGGAAAGCTACATGAGCTGCAAGGAAAGTCCCTTGATGAAATTGAAGGTATTTGGATTCTATATCTTAATTAGGGCTGGGACTCGATTATTTACAAAGCCTCTAATTAGATTTTTTTTTAATCTCATATAAACATTTGACCTGAGAACAGAACTAACAAAGTAATTTTTTTCACATGGATTTTTTTTTTGCGATTGAATAATGACTGAATACATAAGCTTAAGCAACATGTGTTCATTGTGGAGGATAGGGGATAACTTCTTTAACATCAAATAAAATATCTGTCATTGCCTCCACACATTTTAACTAGAACAGATGCTTTTTATGCCCAAAATCCACTGCACTCGCAGTGAGCACTAAAGCTGGGCATGCGCTGTTTGCTAAAGCTTTTGATGTGTGCATTTGGACTAAAAATCAGCAATAGCAGCTCACACACCTGTGTCTCTCTGCACCTCTTCCTTCTCCGCTCACACAGGAGTCGCTTGTTCGCTCCTCCTCACAGAGTCCATCGCTCCATATAAAGCGCACATTCCCGTCTTAACTCACTCGGATTTAGACACAGCTGAAGTTGGTCTATGCTTGTAATAATGTACTTTTTGAACAAAAAAGTCACAGAGCCATGCACGGAGCTCAAGTTGGTGCTCCAGTACAATCAGCCCTTCTGAAACTCATCCAGTGAGGAAGGTTCCGCAGTGCAAAAACACATACACAATTAAAATGCGTAAATTTTTTCAATGCGCTAATTTTTGTGGCATTAATTAAGTCCCGGCCCTAATTTTAATGTTATAATATTGCATGTTTTGGACAAAATTGTAGATCTATTCATTTTTTGTGTGTATTAGAAAAGCAGCAAAAAAAAGATTATTTCACAAGATTTGTATCAAGCCTGTAATGCGTGTTTAAACTCCACTGTGGCAGTAACAGTTGTGGGCAATGTAAAAATTGTTTATGAAATGAGACTAGTTTACACCAATGGAGTGCATAACAGCTCACGTTTCTTTCAAAGTTGTTTAAAAGCAGACCCAGGACACTCTGGGTCAGACCTTTTTGAGTTTTGTATGTAATTATGTCAATTTTCTTATACCCAACAAGAAATGAACAGCTCTATACCGAAAGATATAATTGCAGTAACCTGGGAGAAATAATTCATTTATTAGAAGTTCAACGGTGCCAACACTTTTGTCTTTGGATGTGTAATGAACCGAATAGTTATTACTGTAAATCCTCTAAAAAAAATCCCTGGCATTTATTAACTCAAGTACATAGAAGACCAGGGGCCATATTCCTAAAGATTCTTAGTGCTAAAAGTTGCTCCTAGCGGCCAAATTCTACGAATTTTCTTAGAATCTTGACCAACTCTTAGAATTTCCCCTAAAAGTGAGGAGTAGCTTCTAGTTAAGAAAAAAGCTATTCCTAAAGAATCCTAGCTCTTAAGAGTGCTCCTAAGGTGAGATCCCTTAAGAGTTGAGAAGAGGACTTTTAGCAACTTAAAAGTTCCCTAAGAGGTCAAAATGGTGGACGGTAGAGGCAGGAGAAATATTCTATACACTGGATGACAGTGAATCAGTAAAACGCTGCAGATTGGATCCTGCAGGAATCATGTTTAAAAGTCAATCATGTACAAATATACAGTTTTGTTTTAACAGCAATCCAGTTCAAAAAGGAGTGTGAAGAAGTTAATACTTTTAAACTCCCACCCTCTATTTATCATTCTAAATTAACTTAAATAGTGTGGTTGCTACAGCTTAGTTTATTCCATGGTGTATTTACAGTTATGCAACAGTGACATTCACAATAACATGCACTTGATTTGTGTATGTATATTTTTCCTTAATTCCTTTTACGTCTTTCAGTATCACAGCCTTTACTAATCCTAATGTTATCATAATCATCTAATATATATATATATATATATATATATATATATATATATATATATATTATATAAATAAATAAAGTGCTCATGTTATATACGTTTGTTAAATATGTGTGATAAATTGGTGCTGAGCAAGCTCTAATGATGTGGTGTAAAAGTCAAACTTACAACAGTAAGTTAGACAATATTAGTAAATACATCTGACTTTCTACCTTTTCTGATTATTTACAATGACACAGTATTCCTAAGATTAGATTCTATGATTGAGTTTGTCCATTAGAGGATCCTTATTTTGCCCATTATCAAAAATATGGTTTCTCTAACTTTTAGGATCAACCAATCACAGCGTCTGAAATGATGACTCATACCTAGCAACGGGGTCGGCCACGCCTCCTCACTAAGATAAGAGTTGTTGTCAATTCCTTGCTCAGAGTTCTCTAAGAGTGTTCTGGAATAACTTTTAAGCTAAGACTCCTAGCTAGGAGTTTTTAGGTTAAGATAGGAGCTCTCTGAGAGGACTCTTAGAATCTTTAGGAATACGGCTCCAGGTCTTTATTGGAACCAACCGCTGGTTATTGGCTGTAACTGAATACGAGCCAGTATTAGAGGATTTACAGTAGTGATTTTGTTCAAACTGAAAAGTGATTATATAACATTATTTGTCTATATTTCAGTTGATGATGATGAGGCGGATGAGGAGGATGTAGATGAGGAGGATGAAGAAGAAAATGAAGAGGAACAACACCTAGTTGCAAATCAATTAGTGGATGACCTTGCTGATGAAGGTAATGTTATTATAAAAAAAGTTTTTAAAAAAAGAAATGCGCCAACTTTACTGAAAAAAAAACAAAAAAAACATTAAAACCCACATGTTTAAGTACGGGTGGGTATGTGGGTGGGTACAGAAACACACAGATGGGGCAGCTACTACCCTTCACCTGATCATTTATCTCTGATCATCCGCACAGAAACTGTAAATAATCTCTGAATTCCCAATTCTTAAATTTAATTTTGGCCGTTAATTTTTGGTGCCTCTCTTGACACACTGGTCTGCAGATATAAAGTATAATGCAACTCCATATAGAAAGTTCCATAGAAATCCCTTGGAATGAGGCCAGTTTTACTTTAAATCTACGCTCTGGCCCATGATACTGTATCGCACAGCTGATATAACTATACGTCAGAACATAAAAGTCTGATCTTCTCTTACATATTTTTCCGATGAAAATAGTCACGTGTGATGGACCATCTCCATCCGAGGCTCCCGGAAATCTCTCTGGACATAACGGTAAGATCATAAAAAATATACCCACTGCAGGGTGCTCAATGAAGAACACTTCCGCTTCAGAGGGCACCTTTGGACGATCCTTAAGTCTCCCTCACCCCACCCCTTGACTATGACAGCCCATCCTCTAGTGTTGTAAAGTTCTACTGATATTCTTTTAAAAACCAAAAACATTTACATTATGAATTCACAAAGTAATTCTGATTCAGATTTGTCATATTGCCCCTGGGGCTGGAAGTTGTTTGGAGAGATCATGGGGCATGACTAGCGGTCAGCCTCCCCGGTAAAGTCTACTCCATGGTACTGGAGATGAGACGGGGTTTCATCTTTGCTGCTTGCGGACAATGTTGTCCTGTAAACGAACCAGGGCCTGCAGCATGCACTGGGACGGTTTGCAGCAGAGTTTGAAGCGGCTGGGATGAGAATCAGCTCCAAATCTGAGGCCATGGTGCTCGACTGGATAAAGGCGCCTTGCCCTCTCCTGGTCCTGGTCCTCTCCAGGTGGGGAGGTCATTCCTCAAGTGGAGGAGTTAAAGTATCTCGGGGTCTTGTTCACGAGTGAGGGAAGGATAAAGCGTGAGATTGACAGGCGGATCGGTGCAGCGTGCGCAGTGATGCGGTCGCTGTATCGGACCGTTGTGGTAAAGAGGGAGCTGAGCCGAAAGGCAAAGCTCTCGATTTGCCGGTCTATCTTCGTTCCCTCCCTCACCTATGGTCATGAGTTTTGGGTAATGACCAAAAGAATGAGATCATGGGTACAAGCCGTTGAATTGAGCTTCCTCTGCAGAGTGGTGGGGCACTCCCATAGAGATGGGGTGAAGAGTTCGGTCTCAGGGGAGGAGCTCGGGGTAGAGCTGTTGCTTCACGTTGAAGAACCAGTTGAGGTGGCTCGGGCAACTGTTCCCGAGCCACCTCAAACATCACTACTCAAAACACACTGCACGCATAAATGAGGTCTACTTACTTTTCAGGGACTCGGACACCACACCCAAACTAAAGGTATCCCAACATAAATGCACTCTTGTGTCTGTGTTGGGCTGAGCAAAGCTTTTGATTGGCTGCAGCTCAGAGTGTGCAGTATCCACTATCCAGGGAGACGCTCCTTGGAAAGCTTGGCCTTTTTAAGTCAAGGTCAACTTGACTTTCCTTCACCATACAGGGCTCTACGCTGCAAATATCTTGAGTCTTCTGCCTTACTGATACGCTTCCCCCCCCTTTTTGTTCATAGGACCTCGCAGCGGTAGAGGGGCCTTTGCCAGACGAACATGGACAAAAGCTGAAACTGCGGCTGTGATGAGACATTTTAAGTCTCACATCATGAAAGGACATTTGGCGTCAAAAAGGGAATGTGACATGTGCAAGAGCAGCGAACCTGCTTTAAAAAATAGGACGGGGCACAATATTAGAGATTTCGTTCGGAACAGGGGAATTTCATTCAGACGTCATGAAAATTAGGACAGTAACAGGACACAACAGGCAGTAACACAACCATTACAAACCTTAGTTCATTCAAAAAAACAAACAATGCCAATTTCTGTAAACTCAAAGGACATTTGTATATAGGTTAAGAACAATCACAGGACAGGACCGTTAGAGGACACAGAACAATAACAGATAGATACTTTATTGATCCCCGTAGGAGAAATTCAGGTGTCCAGTAGCAGCAAAAATAAAATGTATCATTCAATCAAGCTAACAATAGTAATAATCAACAACAGCCCTTCAGGTCACAGCAGCAGAGATGGAATAGGCTTTGGGTGGAGCAGGACGGGTCACAGCAGCAGAGGTGCCGTAGCCACTATGTGGAGCAGGACGGGTCAGAATCAGAATCAGAATCAGAATCATTTTTATTGCCAACGTAAGTAACGGGAGGTCACAGACTTGGAAATTGCTTTGGCTCAGTGCAACAGTCAAAAAGAGATAATAAAAATAAGAATAAAAAACACTTCTAAAGAATAAATTTAAATTTAAAATAGAGTTACAGTTACTATTTACAATATACAAGTGCACATGGTGCACACAATGTAAGGTGACAGCAGTACAGTGAAGTAAAGTGACGTATGATGGGCAGTAAAGTGACTTTATAAAGGGCGGGGGGACAGGTTAAGAAGTGTTCAAGAGTCCAACAGCAGAGGGGAAGAAACTGTTCTTGTGGCGGGAGGTTCTAGTCCTGATGGACCGCAGCCTCCTGCCTGAGGGGAGTGGTTGGAATAGTCCATGTGCAGGGTGAGAGGGGTCGGCTGTGATACGACCAGCCCGGCCTCGAGCTCGGGCGACGTACAGGTCCTGCAGCGATGGAAGGCTGCGGCCGATCACTTCCTCTGCAGAGCGCACAATGCGCTGTAGTCTCTGTTTGTCCCTGACTGTGGCTCCAGCGAACCACACGGTGATGGAGGAGGTGAGGATGGACTCGATGATGGCCGTGTAGAACTGCACCAACATCTGTGCAGGCAGCTTGGCTTTCCTGAGCTGCCGCAGGAAGTACATCCTCTGCTGGGCCTTCTTGATGAGAGAGCTGATGGTCGGCTCCCACTTGAGGTCCTGGGTGATGGTGGTGCCCAGGAAACGGAAGGACTCCACAGAGGTGATGGGGGAGTCCATCACGGAGGGTGGGGGCGGGGGGACAGTGCTCTTCCTGAAGTCCACAATCATCTCCACTGTCTTCTGGGCGTTCAGCTCCAGGTTGTTACCACTGCACCAGGACACCAGCCGGTCCACCTCCCTCCTGTAGGCGGACTCATCGTTGTTGGAGATGAGTCCAATGAGGGTGGTGTCGTCCGCGAACTTGATCAGCTTCACGGAGTCGTGGCTGGAGGTGCAGTGGTTGGTGTACAGGGAGAAGAGCAGGGGAGAAAGAACACAGCCCTGTGGGGCTCCTGTATTTATAATCCGAGAGTCCGAGACATTCTTCCCCAGACGCACTCGCTGCTTCCTGTCCGTCAGGAAGTCAGTGATCCACCTGCAGGTGGAATCGGGCACGTTGAGCTGGGAGAGCTTGTCCTGGAGCAGGGATGGCAGGATTGTGTTGAAGGCAGAGCTGAAGTCCACGAACAGGACCCTGGCGTAGGTCCCCGGGGAGTCCAGGTGCTGTAGGATGTGGTGGAGGGCCAGGTTAATGGCGTCGTCTACAGATCTGTTGGCTCTGTAGGCGAACTGCAGGGGGTCCAGGAGGGGGGAGGTGAGGGACTTGAGATGGGAGAGAACCAGGCGTTCAAATGACTTCATGACGACAGACGTAAGTGCTACAGGTCTGTAGTCATTGAGTCCTGTGATCCTGGGCTTCTTCGGAACGGGGACAATGATGGAGGATTTGAAGCAGGCCGGGACATGGCAGGACTGCAGAGAGGAGTTGAAAATGTCCGTGAACACAGGAGTAAGCTCACTGGCGCAGTGTCTCAGAGTGGCAGCAGCAGAGATGGTGTAGCCTCTGGGTGGAGCAGGACGGGTCACAGCAGCAGAGGTGCCGTAGCCACTATGTGGAGCAGGACGGGTCACAGCAGCAGAGATGGAGTAGCCGCTGGGTGGAGCAGGACAGGTCACAGCAGCAGAGATGGTGTAGCCTCTGGGTGGAGCAGGACAGGTCACAAGGTGGAGTAGCTGCTTGGTTCGAACCATTTTCTCTGCTCTAGTCCAAAGTGCAAAATGCAAATGCGAAATGCATCATTAGCATTTTTCAAAAAGTTGGCATTCCTCCAGTGCATTTTCATTTGATCTGCTTGGTTCGGACCATGAATCCTCTCTGCTCTGGTCTGGACCAGTGTAAACCATGACCACTGTACTGCAGCAACATCTCCGGTAGAAAAAACAAGAAGAATAAAAGTGTTGTAACATAACAATCACAAATTTTAGTTCATTCATAAAAACAAACACAACAATGCCAATTACTGTGAACTAGAAAGTATTTTTGTATAAGTTAAGTAGAATCACAGGACAGTAAGACTTGCTGCCGTTTTCCAGCACATTCAAAAGTGGACAGTAACAGGACACATGACAATAACAGGACACATGACCATAACAGGACAGTGACAGGACACATGACAATCACAGGACAATAACAGGACAGTGACAGGACACATGACAATAACAGGACACATGACCATAACAGGACAGTGACAGGACACATGACCATAACAGGACACATGACCATAACAGGACAGTGACAGGACACATGACAATAACAGGACACATGACCATAACAGGACAGTGACAGGACACATGACAATAACAGGACACATGACCATAACAGGACAGTGGCAGGACACATGACAATAACAGGACACATGACCATAACAGGACAGTGACAGGACACATGACAATAACAGGACACATGACCATAACAGGACACATGACCATAACAGGACACACATGACCATAACAGGACAGTGACAGGACACATGACAATAACAGGACAGTGACAGTACACATGACAATAACAGGACAGTGACAGTACACATGACAATAACAGGACAGTGACGGGACACATGACAATAACAGGACACATGACCATAACAGGACAGTGACAGGACACATGACAATAACAGGACAGTGACAGTACACATGACAATAACAGGACAGTGACAGGACACATGACAATAACAGGACAGTGACAGTACACATGACAATAACAGGACAGTGACAGGACACATGACAATAACAGGACAGTGACAGGACACAGGACAATAACAGGACAGTGACGGGACACATGACAATAACAGGACAGTGACGGGACACATGACAATAACAGGACAGTGACAGGACACAGGACAATAACAGGACAGTGACAGTACACATGACAATAACAGGACAGTGACAGTACACATGACAATAACAGGACAGTGACGGGACACATGACAATAACAGGACAGTGACGGGATACATGACAATAACAGGACACATGACCATAACAGGACAGTGACAGGACACAGGACAATAACAGGACAGTGACAGGACACAGGACAATAACAGGACAATAACAGGACAGTCACAGGACACATGACAATAACAGGACAGTAACAGGACACATGACAATAACAGGAGAGTAACAGGACAGTGACAGGACACAGGACAATAACAGGACACATGACAATAACAGGACAGTGGCAGGACACATGACAATAACAGGACAGGACACAGGACAATAACAGGACAGTCACAGGACACATGACAATAACAGGACAGTAACAGGACACATGACAATAACAGGAGAGTAACAGGACAGTGACAGGACACATGACAATAACAGGACAGTGACAGGACACATGACAATCACAGGACAGTGACAGGACACATGACAATAACAGGACAGTGACAGGACACATGACAATAACAGGACAGTGACAGGACACATGACAATAACAGGACACATGACAATAACAGGACAGTGACAGGACACATGACAATAACAGGACACATGACCATAACAGGACAGTGACAGGACACATGACAATAACAGGACACATGACAATAACAGGACAGTGACAGGACACATGACAATAACAGGACACATGACAATAACAGGACAGTGACAGGACACATGACAATAACAGGACACATGACAATAACAGGACAGTGACAGGACACATGACAATAACAGGACAGTGACAGGACACATGACAATAACAGGACACATGACCATAACAGGACAGTGACAGGACACATGACAATAACAGGACACATGACAATAACAGGACAGTGACAGGACACATGACAATAACAGGACACATGACCATAACAGGACAGTGACAGGACACATGACAATAACAGGACACATGACAATAACAGGACAGTGACAGGACACATGACAATAACAGGACAGTAAAAACTCTTTAATGCTCTGAAAGTTGCTCTGAAACCCTTGTTTTGTGCTTTAGAATTTTTATTTTCTTGCCTATTTTCTACCGGAGATGTTGCTGCAGTACAGTGTTCATGGTTTTACACTGGTCCAGACCAGAGCAGAGAGGATTCATGGTCCGAACTAAGCGGATCAGGTGTAAATCCACAGGAGGAACTTTTTGAAAAATGCTAATTAAGCATTTAGCATTTTACTTTGGACTACGGCAGAGATAATGGTCCGAACAAAGCGGGGTACTCCACCTTGTGACCTGTCCTGCTCCACCGAGCGGCTTCCATCTCTTCTGCTGTGACCTGTCCTGCTCCACCCAGCGGCTACTCCATCTCTTCTGCTGTGACCCATCCTGCTCCATCCAGTGGCTACTCCACATCTGCTGCTGTGACCCGTCCTACTCCACCCAGAGGCTACTCCATCTCTGCTGCTGTGACCCGTCCTACTCCACCCAGAGGCTACTCCATCTCTGCTGCTGTGACCCGTCCTACTCCACCCAGAGGCTACTCCATCTCTGCTGCTGTGACCCGTCCTACTCCACCCAGAGGCTACTCCATCTCTGCTGCTGTGACCCGTCCTACTCCACCCAGCGGCTACTCCATCTCTTCTGCTGTGACCCGTCCTGCTGCACCCAGCGGCTACTCCATCTCTTCTGCTGTGACCCGTCCTGCTGCACCCAGAGGCTACTCCACGTATACTACTGTGATCCGTCCTGCTCCGCCCGGTGGCTACTCATCTCTGCTGCTGTGACCTGAAGGGCTGTTGCTGATTACTATTTACTGGACACCTGAATTTCTCCTGCGAGTATCTTGTCTATCTCTCTCGATCTCTCATTACAAACCTTAGTTCATTCACAAAAACTAACACAAACAATGCCAATTATTGTGAACTACAAAGACATTTGTATATAAGTTAAGTACAACTGAGATTTTCTATAATACTGTTGCCATTTTCTGCCCCTGCTTCAAGGTCGTCTCCTCAAACATGTCCTGCACTGCATAACGAGACGTTGTTTTGTGATTTGAAGCATAAACTAAATACCTTGTTTTACTTTGCTTCAGTTACATGTTCTTTCTTTTTTTTCAAATAAAATACCAGCCAAGTTTTTGTAACATGTATCCAATTATTTTGTTGATGTCTTTACTAATTCAAATCCAGAAACATGATGGTTTTACTATATTGCCACACAACCAACTGTGCATGTCCCATGAGGGACATTATTATACAGTATTATACAATGTTATTCCAACAGTATAACTTTCAATTCCTAAAGTAGATGTGGTTATTTTAGTTTCACATTTTATACCATGATTCTTCAGTTTTTTCCTATGTGTCTAATATAAAATGTTGATGTTTTCCTATTAGCCAACATCCTTTTGTATGGGTTATAAAGCTTTACCATTTGTATTTGTTCAAGCGTATTTATGTAATTGCATTTCACCTGGGAGGTTTGGTCCTATCTCTGATGATCTCTCATTTGTAGGTAGAGAGAGCGATGGATGGATAGTTGTATGTATATGGAACACGTTTCTCCCAAAATTTCAGAATACGTTTTGTGTTGTAGGTTTTAGAAGCTTGCATAGAAG